ATTGGCTGCACGTAGGTAAGCAGACCGTTGTTGTGCACAGAGATCATAATGGGCTGTCGAATCCCCTGGGACTGGAGTTATGGACAATTGTTAGCTGCCATGTGGGTGCTGGGATTCGAACCTGGGTCTTCTGCAAAAACAGTCTTCTTAACTGCTGAGCCATCTCTCCAGCCCCTTCTTTTTGGTTTTTTAAGCCAGGGCCTTATCTGTCTTGGAACTCCCTGTGTAGACCAGGCTGGCCTCAAAAGTGTTGGAATCAAAGGTGTGTGCCACCACCCTGAGTTTTGTCTGTTGATATTTTTGGAAATATCAAGGGAAGGAGGTGCATTTGAGGCACTAAGCAGTAGAGATGTCTTAGTCTCTCAGTAGTCCTTCTTCCCTCTCTCCCTCCTCCCTTCCCTCCCTCCTCCCCTCTTTCCCTCCTCCCTCCTCTCGCTCTTCCCTCCTCCATGGCCCCCCAAGTCCACCCCTCCCTGCCTCTGCCTCCTGCCTCCTGGGTCCTGCTCCTCAGCTGGCTCCAGCTCTCTCTAAAGTCTCCTCTTCCCTAGCTCTTCCTCTCCCCTCACCCTGTCCTGGGGAGGGGCTGCTGGGCGCGTGATTTGTGATTCCCAGGGCGGTCGTCTCAGAGGCTGCACATCTGGATCTTTAGGACGCTCTGGAAATCCGAGGCTGCCTGAGTGGGCACAGCGCCCCCTCCTTCTCCCCCCACCCCAGCCAATATTTTTAGCTCTCTGCAGAACATCAGTGTGCAGGGCCGGTGAAGTGAGGTTTTATCTGTTGTGACAGCCCCAAGGGCAGAGCAGCTTCTCGAGTCTGTTGGGGCAGCTCCTCTCTAGAGTCTCAGCTGCAGGGTCAGGCTGGCTCTGTCCAGGTCGCTAGCACCCCCACCTCCAGCTCCAGCCTTGGCCTTTGTCCCCAAGGCTTCAAGCTGGAGCCGCCCACCAGCCCACCAGGCTGGCTCCCAACCTCCTTTTGTCCCGGCTTCTCCTTTCTAAGCTGTGTCCCTCTTCGTTGAGGCCCCCCCACACACACAACCTTCCCACCTCATCCTCTTCCCAGCTCACCTCCTTTTGTCCCGGCTTCTCCTTTCTAAGCTGTGTCCCTCTTCGTTGAGCCCCCCCCCACACACACACAACCTTCCCACCTCATCCTCTTCCCAGCTTTCTTGAAGCCAGAAGAGCCGATGGTGAGCAGCAGACCCCCCCAGCACCTGTGCCTGCCCCTTTTCCTATCTCTCTCTGCCCTGGGCAGCCTCTAGGGGACAGGGTGCAGGGAATGGGGTGCTGAGGTCCTGGGCCTTCAGTCAGGGCCTCTGGGTGCCCAGACATTTCCAGGACTCAGAAGACCCACAGGCACCCAAGCTTGTTCAGGAACTTCCTGAGCAAGACAGTCTATGACCCTCAGGGGACCTCTCCTTCCCCATTGGGCCCCCACCCAAACTTCTCTTTCTCAACACCCACTTAGAACACCTCCCCACAGTGTTCAGCTCGCTACAGTCTACACAACTTTCTGTTCTGTTGCAGCTGCTGCGTGTGCTCTGCACACCCAGGCTTATCTCTCTGTGTGAAGAGGAGGTGTGTGGACTCAGACGGATGACCAGGATGCCCTCACCAGCCCACCTGGCCAGCCCAGGACACAGGGTTCCAGCTCCTGCTACCTAGGCCTCGAGGTCTCTCCATAGACCCTGGAAACACATCTAGGGGTCTCCAAGGCAACCAGGCCTGCACCCAAGGTCAAGCAGCACAGATTTGGGGAGCACTGGAAGCCGCTGTGCCCTGTGAATCCAGCACTGCCCAAGGGAGCTGGGGAGGAAGCCAGTCATGGGCTCCTTGTCTCCCTGGGACCCATGCCACAGGCTAGCTCTGTCCTCCCCAGATCTTAGTATCATACCCCACCCACCCCGCATCAGGGTTTTCCCTGTGACCCCCTTTTCCAGCAGACTTGTCCCTCCATCCAGCGCCCAGGCTCTGACTGGCTCTCACGGGCCTTCTTCCTGTCCTCTGTCTGGGAGAGCCAGCTCCCCAGCTCTGCTACTAGCTTCTCACTGTGCACTGCCCCCACTGTGGGCCAGTGCCGCCATCCCTGAGCCTCCTCTGCCTCCCCTCCCCTCCACTTCCCCTTCCTCTCCTGCTGTCTCTGCCTACCCCAGCACATACATACACCACACCACACACATACACTATACATACACACGTATATACGCACCATCACACACACACCACACATACACATACAGCCCACAAACACATACATCACAAACACACACCCCACACTACAAACACATACACACATCAGGCCACACCACAAACATATATCACACATATACCACACACATACACTACACATATACACCATCACACACATACTACACATACATATACAACCCATAAACACATCACACACACCCCACACTACAAACACATACATATGCCATACCACAAACACACACCACACATACATATACTACACACACCACAAACACACACCACACATACACTGCACATACACACACACACACCATCACACATACATAACAAACACACACAGCCCACAAACATACATATCACACACACACACACCCGACACTACGAACACACACCACACATACACCACACACATGCACACACCACACACATGTAGCACACACCTACACACAGCTGTGCCGACACACACCCATTCCCTGCACAGTCATCACAACAGGGAGGCTGAGACCCCACAGGGGCCATGGGAGGAGTCGCAGCTGATATTGCCCTGGAGTCAAGGACTTGGGTGTGGTGGGGTCCCAGCTGGGCAGACTCTGCAGCTCCATCTTCGGAGTCTCAGGCAAGTCCCGGGGTCCCCTAGTGTTGACCACACAGCTGTGGACACAGCACCATGGCTACCCAGGAGGCTGAGTGGCTGCCTTCCATGCCAGGGCTGCAGCTCCAGGGCTCTACCTCCCATCTCCTGTTCTCCAGCTGCTATGAGAGCTTGGGCCATGGAG